CATCCCGTCGATGTCATACATTCAATTCGTATTCATCGTGCTGACTGCCACAGGAAATGTGTAACTGTCCGTGAAAATGTGCAACTGTCGTGTGAACACGTTTGCATTATGAGTCATCTTTGTACGCTGATATATCACAACTCCTTATACTCTGACTGCAAGATTTCATTCATTCCTATCGAGCTTTATATGTAATGTAATATAAGAGTGCACTGCAACCCTAACGCAGCACACCCAACTTGTATTAAGAAGTACACCCTTAAATTTTTTTCTTATTCATTTAGTATTTCTGCTTTGTTTTTAAGGAAAGATCATCTAGGGGTTCATGAATGAGCATAACGAAATTTGGGAAAATCGCAAAGGGACGCTGCATCGCCTATACTTGCAGAAGTATAGGAATTTGTTAAACTTTTTAATTGATTTTTTAAAATAATTACATAGTTTTAAATGATCAGAACACCTTACATGTATCTCAAAAATGCTAAATATTTCAAGATGAATTATTTCTGCAAAGCATGTATTTCCTAAATAATATAAATCATGTACATTAATTTTTGCACTCCGATGATTCTACGTTATTGGAGAGCAAGTCACACATTGCAGCCATTCTGCGTCACACCTCTGTGACGTCGAAACTATCTGGGAAAAGCGAACTAAAAGACGAACATACGAAGAAACTATCAGTGGTCAGCAGTTTTAAATCTCTGCTATTGTTTAACTCAATAATAAAATCTATAACATTCAAAAAAAAAAAAAAAAAAAAAAGCGAGAGAGAGGGAGAGAGACAGAGGGAGATAGAAAGAAAACATTCATCAATTAGCACTAAAAATTGAGGGATAAAAAGTGTAAAAAATAACAGTCAAAACCGTCTACAGACAAAATGTTAAATAATAATTCTTCAATTTACAATATCTTTAAAATTCAATTCTTCCCCTCTTGCTGAAATTAAAAACGTTAAAATAATGGACTGTTTGCATAATCACTGCATTTCTTTGAGTTAGCTAAAAGTTTCCTTCGTTTGCTTTTGAAATAAGTTTGTTAGTTTAAAGCATTGGCAAATATTTGACTTTTGCTCAATTTTAATTCATGTGTAAGAATTAAGGGGTTGAGGAAAGAAAAAAGAATACTTTTTTAAATGTAGTTTATTTTGTCTCTGAATATTCACTCATTTAAAAGACTATTTAATGAAGAACAATTATGCTCAACTTAGAATTTTAAAAAGACACAAACTAAAAATTAAATTTACACAGTCCTGCTGGAAAAGGGATAGGCGGCAACCAAAAACAGTTTTTAATCAAGAGATTTTTTACTGACTTGCAATTTAAATTTACATTAAGCATTCTTCCAAACATTTAGTTTTTTTAGCCCAAAAGGGCATTAGCCCTTGAGCTATTAATTTCGTTTTGACATTTTACGTTGGTTCAATTATAAAACGGCGTTTCACTTTTTAAATTGTTGACAACAAATACATGCCCTGCATTATATTTAAAGAAATTAAAGAATGAAGAGTCGCCCAGACGGTATAGTGGTTAGAGAAGCCTACTGCGATACCGAAGGGTTCGGGTTCGAATACCGGAGAGGATATGGATGTTTGTAAATGTAGTTAGTAGCGGTGTGGCATGGAGGCACTCTAAATATGCGGCGAGCCGAAAGTCACAAACAATTTTGAACTGAGAAAACACTGAAAAAATAAATAAAAACTGAAAGGTTTCACATTTTAAACTACGTCCAAATGGGCGGTTTTTTTAACATTTTGTGTGTTACCTTTATTTATTAAATATCATGTTGTTCGCACTTAAACCATAAAATTCTGTTCAAGAGCAATAACGCAAAATAGTTTTAAATTGAGCATATCTTTAGAATTTACGATACACAGTCTCATCACGCACTGGAGATAAAAATGTCCCCCCTTTCCCCGTACAGTGTTGCCATTGCTCGCTTTGAAATCTGAATTTGCTAATCAAAATTTCGTTGAAGTGTTACAAAATATTAAATAGGTAATAAAATAAATTTTAAAATCAAATTAGGTCTTCCACATGTCCATATTCTATGAAAGATTACGTTATTCAAATTTTGATGACTCTAGGTACGATTGTTTTATCACAATGCGAGAAGCATACATACACTCATTCAGATTCATTATTTTTAATTTCTTTAAATATAATACAGGACGATAATATTTGGTGGCAACAATTTGAAAAGTGAAATAACGCTTATAGTGAATCGAACCAGGTATACAAAATGCCGAAACGAAATTAATAGTCCTTCTGGGCAAATTGCCCCTTTGGACTAATAATATAAAAATATATGCTAACACTTTACACGCATCGGGAATTCTTAAAATATGCTGCTACGCAGCTATTAAAAGTTTTGTGATTTTGTTGTTGCACTGTATGTGGCGTAAGTATGAAGAAAACGATGCTTAGAAAAAAAAATCAAGCTTTTTTTGCGGAAATTTTTTTTTACGATTACCAGAAGGGACTGCAATTCAGCGGGTGCGTAAAAAAATCTTAACCAAACCCTTTTAGGCTGGCTACCTTTAAAACTGAAATATTTAGATCCTTTTTTACTTATTTCTTGATTTATTTATTTATTACGAGGAACGATAACTTAGAAGTGTTTGATGGTAAGTAAAAAAAAAAAAAAAAAAAAAAAAAAAAAACATTCTTAAAAATTCCACTTCAAAAACAACTCATAGCACGCAAAATACACGGCAGTCATCCCTCCAATCCTTGAAGTGCCAGGTATACGGTTTATAATTATATAACACAGGGGTTCACAACCAAGGGGGGGATAGCCAATACATGTATCGAAACAACAAACATTAAAAAAAAGTTAGAAGTAGATAAAGGGAAAAGAAAAGAAGGAGGGAGGAAAAAGTGTTATTTTTTAAATCTTTGTTTTTTAATTATTATTTACATTTATTTTTGTAATTTTTATTCTCGTTTTTATAATTATTAATTGTTTTTTGTAATTATTATGAACACGAAACCATACGTTTATTTTCAAATATATATAGCTGCTATATCAATATTCACTTGCTAAGAGTTGGAGTGTTTCGGTTCCTTTAATTATGGTTGAGAAACAAATATTAATTCTACTGGAACATATGAAGAGACACATTTAAAAATACGCCTAAACTGAATATATCACAGTAAAGGGCGTTGGGAGTCGCTCTAGAAAAACATTTCCTGATCTTTTTATGAACGGGGACTCCTCAAAGAATAACATCTCTTTCTCATCACTCTCCATCGTACAAGTACGGTAGAATTAAATTAAATTTTAGTCTCTTTTATCTGTTTAATACTGAGCTTACTATTTTTTGTCTCAGATTAATAAATACCATTATTTTTGTGTTAAGAACTTGTGCACAGGGTATTGTTGGAAATTTTAAATAAGTGATCGCCTCTCGTCCAAAAGCGGATTAATCTATTTTAAATTAATTCCTAAAGGAAAAACAATTTTTGTTTACGATTATCTCAGACGACGAATGGCCTTCAGGGATGAATTAAATTCGTGAACGAAGTTTCACTGTATCTAATTTCAACTTTGTAATAATACAGACTTGAAGACTGTATAAGGACATAGCTTACGAACCGAAATAGTAACCGAAATTTTTGACATTAAAATCAAATGATGACAGGAGAAAGAAAGAAAAAAGGGAGGAGGGAACTGGCTTCGAAATACTGAAAAAACATCAATTTAAGAAATTAACGTTTAAAAAAATTATTCTCTACAATGAAATGTTCATTACACAAATTTATTGAAAAAGCAAACATTTATTAACAAAAATATTTTAATGTAAAAAAATTTCAATAATAATAATATAAAAATTAATAAATTTTAATAATAAAAGTCAAAAATCAGAGACACTTATAAAAAAGTCACAAACATCGACAAAAACTATACATCGCAATTTTAAAAGTCAGAGCTGATCTATCGGCAAATTTCAAAATCATCGCAGCACATTATTAATATTCAAGTTTTTCATTTGCAGTGTTGCTCTATTATTGCTTTTTATAGTAAAGACAAAATGAAAAATTTGAATGCACATTTTCAATCTACTAAAATCTAACAAATTCCTGCCGGTAAATCTTTGAAGATGAATGGCAACAACACATCATCTGCGTCTTGGCTTTTATTTACTTAATACACACTCCTTCTCATCAATATAAAAACCTAAAATCATCATCTAAATGAAAATTTTACTGAATTTTATTTTCGTAATAGAATTTATTCCCAATGTTACACAAAAAGACTTGATTTCAAACTGCATCAAAATAAGTCTCCCCCCCCCCACAGAATCTTGTCATAAAAGTAGCAAAAATTTTTTAATTTCATTCGCTCTGATAAAGTGACGCTGTGCATCGCCAAAAACCTATACTCTTGGAATATAAAACTAATAAAAACACTATCACATTATAGTAATTTTTTAAATACTTTTAGTGTAAGATTATTTGCATATTGATGTTTACATTATCAGTACTTTATATATATTTATATATACATAACAAAAATGGTACGCATGTATATAGCTAGTTTGTTGCATTTCTGTTGCAGGAACATTTTAATTTTTGACACTGTGTATACATTCAGAATAAATGCAATTATGATACTTCCATTTGTTTGCCCTCCCCCCTCCCAAATCACTAATCGAGAGGAGAGATCTTATGAGTGCAATCACTGAAGAATATCGGTATCGTTATACATTGTGAGAGTATTTGTTTTCATTCACACAAATAAGCCGAAAAGTATAATGGAATACTCATTTTACATTCATTCACAAAACAACTACACTACGTAGCCGTACATCAGAATCGTAGGGAAGAACACCCAACAACGGTCAGTATCATTTTCATTTACAGGAAACTTACTACACGTTATAGGCCGCCGACACTCATCGGTCCCTAACCCTAAAATAAACGGTTAGTTACCCCCCAATGCATGCGTTCATTCATAACTTCACAAATAAGACATGAATTACTTAAATGCACTCTTACCTCAAGTGAGGTTCTAAAATTGATGGTTAACAAAATCCTAATATTATTTGAACTAAATCCTTCGACGGCAGCGGCACTTTTACTTAAAACTGTTTTTATTTTCAATTCTTCTCTACTCCGCTACTTCGAATTGCGTTACTCTCGCTCCAACCCTCAGGACAAACTCACCAATTCTTCAGCATCGCCTTTCACCGTTGGCTGTAAAGGCGGTGACGTCACGAAGCGGACCGATCCATTTCGCGCCGCAGGGCGGCAGGCGATTTCATGCCCAAAAGCTGATGGTTTCTGTTTTAATGGATTTTTATGTTCGGCGAAGTTGTGGGTCTAGGGACTCACTACAGAAATTGGTTTTTCACATAAAAATAAGCAGAACTGAATAATCTGTTTATTTTAACGTCTTAAACTTTAGGCGATTTATTTATGGCGTAATTTTAAATAAAAGTCTTTGCATTTATTATTGACTATGAGTTCGTTCGCACTAATCCTGGGAGGAGGTAATTTATACACGTGTTTTTGTGCATCTAAGAACATTCAAGAATTTATGCGTTTATAAGCGTGATCTTTAATCCATGAAAATAAAAAGAATTCTTAATAGAATTTTTTTTTTTTTTTTTTTTTAGCACTAGGTATGTAATCAATTTGTCTCATTCCTTTTTGTCTCTATCACATTTCAAATGTTGCTACTAAATATAATCGCCACTTTTAAAGAACTAATATAGTGCATATCAAAAGCACATGGCAACACAAATGAAAGGATGTTACCATCAAACATTGTCTCTGTGTTTTAAAAAAATAATATAACGAATATTTAAAATATATGTATATGGCAACACAAATAAAAGGATGTTGCTATCAAATGTTATCGCCATGTGTTATTTTTAAAGAAATAATACAGCGAATATAAAAAGTGTGTGGCAAAATTTAACACTTCAACCGGAATTCTAAAGCTATCCGATACAAAGTGCCGCAGGGCGACGTTCCCTTAATGTAAAGATGATCTAAGGGCAGCAATTAATAGTTGACTATTTTTTGTTCCCTTTTATTACACGTCTACTCTCAAAATGTAAAACCCTGTTTTTTTTTTTTTTTTTTTCTTTGTTTTGACAGTTTTTGAATTTACATGGTTCCTATGAAACCAATTATTCGACAGGGATAGTGCCTCTTGCACAGGCCCCCTGGTGACTGCGCCGTACCAATACGAATGCGACATGAAATAGTTTTAACTTCCACGCTCAAGTGTGCTGCTATTTGACGAAGCGTAAGCTATTTAATTTTTCTTTTAAATGTAATCTGCCTGTTACTGATTAGCAAAATTAGCTATTTAAAAGCAATAAAAGTAGTTCTTTATCTCTCTTATTAATTATCAGTTGGACCAATGAAATTACATTAACTAGATTTATTGAAAACATTATATATACATATATATATATATAATGTTGTATGAACTTAAATCCATTTAGTGCGAATACAAGTTATATTACTTGCGCAATTGCTGCAAAGTTAGTTATAATAATTTATTTCCTAAACCGTATTGATTAATTGATTATATTATCTCCTAAGTTTAATTAAAGTAGAATTATTTAAAAGTGTGCATCCATACTGGTAAGTTATATTTTGAAAGATGTTTTGAAGTAATTTGAAAGCAAAATGTTAATAATGTTTTTTAACGGGGACTGGAGTTAAATCATCACGAAGAATATATTACAATTGTAAAAGTAAAAATTAAAACATGTAATTATTGTCATGATCGGAAATTAGTTGACTTTTCAAGGGGAACAAACCAACTCCCGTTCAATGATCAATAATTGATAGAAATACGTAAATATGAAAGTGTTTCGTCTTTACTCGAGTTATAAATTAAAGCCAACCGGCAATTCTAGTCAGGCCAAATATTTCCGCGAATAGTTGTTACTCAAAGAACTGATTCTCATGAAGCATTTTAGTCAATTCAATTTGGAGTAAAAATCAATTACTGTAGAGAAATCTTGTAAAACTCGAGTAATCGTCCCCGACACTATCATCTTTATGTATTTGAGTACTATATTATTTGTAGAAATTAAACATTGGAAATTGTCATTATGAAATCGAAATCAAAGTAAAGTTGAAATAAACATAGAAGATTATAAAAAAGATAAATAATGCAAACTTTGCAAAAACAAATCAAGAGAACATAAAAATAATATAAAAATAAAATAGAAAATAATATAAATAAGATCAGTGAATGTACATGAAGATATAAAGGCCAGAAAGGTATTAAGTACTTACATTCTTTCAGTGGGGGAGTTGGCAGTGTGTTCTCTTCGTGTTGACTCAGAAGTGTAGGGTGTCCGAAATTCTTAGCGGCAGTAGGGGCTTTGAATTATATCAGTCGGCAAGACTTGGGTGAAGAAATATATGGTAGTGGGTGGGACTTGGAATTCTTGAGGATGATGTATTTGTGGAGTTCTTATCTGAGAGAGACCGTCTTTTTAAGATTCCCCTCAAGAATTCCCAAGTCCCACCCACTACCATATATTTCTTCACCCAAGTCTTGCCGACTGATATAATTCAAGCCCCTACTGCCGCTAAGAATTGCGGACACCCTACACTTCTGAGTCAGCCACGAAGAGAACACACTGCCAACTCCCCCACTAGAAAGAATGTAAGTTACTTAATACCTTTCTGGCCTTTATATCTTCATGACATTCACTGATCTTATTTATTATTTTCTATTTTATTTTTATATTATTTTTATGTTCTCTTTGATTTGTTTTTGCAAAGTTTGCATTATTTATCTTTTTATAATCTTCTATGGTTTATTTCAACTTTACTTTGATTTCGATTTCATATGACAATTTCCAATGTTTAATTTCTACAAATAATATAGTACTCAAATACATAAAGATGATAGTGTCGGGGACGATTACTCGAGTTTTACAAGATTTCTCTACAGGATTGATTTTTACTCCAAATTGAATTGGACTAAAATGCTTCATGAGAATCAGTTCTTGAGTAACAACTATTCGCGGAAATATTGGCCTGACTAGAATTTGCCGGTTTTGGCTTTAATTATAACTCGAGTAAAGACGAAACACTTTCATATTTACGTATTTCTATCAATTATTGATCATTGAACGGGAGTTGGTTTGTTCCCCTTGAAAAGTCAACTAATTTCCGATCAATGACAATAATTACATGTTTAATTTTTACTTTTACAATTGTAATATTATTCTTCGTGATGATTTAACTCCAGTCCCCCGTTAAAAAACATTATTAACATTTTGCTTTCAAATTACTTCAAAAACATCTTCTCAAAATATAACTTACCAGTATGGATGCACACTTTTAAAATAATTCTACTTTAATTAAACTTAGGAGATAATATAATCAATTAATCAATACGGTTTAGGAAATAAATTATTATATATATATATATATATATATTCTTTTTTATAGTAACTATGTTAGTTGGCTAGAGGCACTAGCGGCTAGTTATTTGAAAAGTGACTTGAAGTTGGAGAATTGAAGGTAAGTTGGAGAATAATAGTCCTTCAAGGCTAAAAAAAATGTGTGGAAATGCTGCAATACTTAATGCTATATCGAGAATTCTAAAGATACGCTGTTTTTAAAAATTTTGCAATTTTACTATTGAATTTTATGTTGCGTAACTGCGAAGAAAGTAATGTTTAATAATAAAGTTAAAAAAGAGGAAGAAAGTTGTATCATCAGGGATGAGTCCTATGGTGCGATGTAAAAAGCTGAAGACTCAAATTTTCTTTCTTTCTTTTTTTTTGTAATTTGTTATTATTTTTCTCTACATTTAGCATTAATTTACTATTTCAGAGAAGTTAGGCTGAAGCAGCCTCTTTTGAACAATTTTATTCTAAACTTATTCGTCAAAATAAAGGTCAACTCATGTGATTATCTTACCACTATACAATAAAATTATGCAGAAAATTTTCTTGAAAAGTTGAGAAATAAAACAATAAAACTTTAAAAATTAAAAAAGTAATAAATAAATAAAATCTAAAAGTTTTCAGATTTTACATTGCGCCCAAAAGGGCGTTTTCTTAACCTTTCGTGTGTTACTTTTATTTATTAAACATCACGTTTCTCGAACTTAACCATAAAATTCAATTCAACAGCAATAATAATTGTAAAATGAATATATCTTCAGAATTTCCGATACACAGTCTCGCGCCCTGTAGATAAAAATGTTTTTTTTTTTTTTTTTCGTACAGTGTTGCCATTGTTCGCTTTGAAATCTTTGAGTTTGTTAATCGAAAATTCGTTAAAGTGTTACAAAATATGAAATCGATAATAAAACAAATTTCAAATTCCTAATTCGGGCTTCCAGAAACCCATATTCGGGTCTGGACGTACGTTATTCAAAATCTGATGGCTCATCTAGGTACCGTTGTTTTATCACAATGTTAGAAATATACATACATTTATGCAGATTCTACATTATTAAATTTATTTAAACATAACACAGGGCTCTAATGCTTGGTGACAACAATTTGAAAAGTGAACCGACATTTATAGTGAACCAATGCAAAATGCACACACGAAATTCATAGTCTTCCTAGGCTAACGCCCTTTGGGCTAATAATACAACTTTCTGAGTAATTATTTATTAGTGCATTTTATTATTTATCACCTTTTTTTGTAATATTTCGTTGTTATTGATGCACCAGTTTAAGAAAATTTTACTGCAAGATATTAACAGATAAAAAGTTGAGTATTTATCCTAAGGTACTCCTCGTTGCTTAATACAAGCTGATAAAAATAATTTGGAATCTATATTTCATCTAGGGCTGAACTTCAGGCTTCGACTGACTCTGGTACTTCTCAGTTTTGAATGCCAGTCGGTTCACACAGATACTTTCTTGGAAGAAAAACTCCGATATTTGCTTGGATAACTGAATTGCAGTATTAATAGAAAATTATGTTATTAGTTCAAAATTTTGTCTAGGAGTTAATAAAGTTTATATAGATATTAGCAGTAGCATAGCAAGAAGGGGGCGGCACTTGTCCACATGAAACGTTATTTTATAGGAGTTAGTAATGTCGATCGTCGACGCAGAGGAAAAATAATAAGATTCTGAATTTCTGTGCTGAACTAAATTGAGAAGAAAAATAGTTTTTGCTGTAGATGAAATATGCAAAGAATCACCAGGA